ATTAAAGTTTTGATTACTTCATCCGGCACATTATTTAAATGATTAGAGATTTAAATAATGTGCCGGATGTAAAAATGATGAAAAAGGCGGGAAAAAATATTGTTTAGAAGTAAAAAATTTCAAATCTTCCAAATTGTAAAGTTGTTCTTTACCAAGCTTGTGATCAAGCCACGACCATAAATTCTCTATTGGATTTAAGATTGGCAGGCCATGGAAGCACTTGAATTTTATTAGAATTGAACCAATCGTTAACAACATGCGCTTTATGACACATTATGGCGCATTATCTTGCTGGAAAATAAATCCATCTTGCAACTGCCATAAATCAATGCTAGGAATAAGCGAGTTTTCCAAAATTTCGATGTATCTTTCTTTGTTGAGTCTACCATCGAATAAATGAAAACCGCCAACTCCACAAGCACTCATACAGACCCAAATGCCTATTGAACCACTGCCTTGTTTTGTTCGTTTCAAAATGCATGATTCATCGAATCGTTCGCTTGGAAGTCTACGCAATATTACGCGACCTTTTCTGTTGTCTACCTCAACGTTTATTTCATCACTAAAGATCACACGGCTCCACTGATCTGTTGACCAATTTTTATGTAGTTTGCACCATCTTTCCTGGCAAATTTTTGTTTTTTATTTAAGCGTGGTTTATTTGCAGAAGCACGCTATAAATAATTGTGGAGGACCTTCGCACATTTCTAGGGCTTGCTTTCAGACCATTTGACAGTGTCCATTTCGTAGACAAGTCTGTAGATGATGCTTGTCTGTTTTCTTTCATTAATCTCACTAACGAGCAAACATCACGTTCATTTGAAATTTTATTGCGTCCAGTCCTGTGACGATCATTAATTGACCCGGTCTCTTTGTATCGTTGAATTATGTTAGTAATGCAAGAGTGAGACCTTCCGAGCTTTTTTGCTATTTGTAAGATGCTATAGCCTTCTTCCAACTAAAAAATGAGTGGTCTTTAATTTTTGGCCACCGCTGTATGACAGCGTTAGAGTTTATTAAAGACTTTATTGTGTTTTGTTAATCTTTTTGAAAATTTTTTTAATTAGGTATACAAGTATAGTGTTTTTAAAAAAGACCGCGTTCTTAAATAAACAAAAAAATTATATTTCTGATAACTATTGTTAACCAAATTTAAACAAAAGTTTGGATATTTCAAAATATGAACAAGCCACGTAACTTTTAGAAAAAAAGTTAAGCCATAGCACAGTAATTCAAAAGTTTTCAAACTATCAGAATTTCTAAATAACATCTTTGCAGCAATTATTTTTATTGTTGTACATTAAGGTAAAATTATAATTGGTCTTATACTATCTACAATGCACTTTTATTTACCACATACCAATTTCATAACAATTTGACACACAGGGCATTGTTTAAGATTATCAGCTTGACAAATGCTTTTTTTCTTAGAATCAACAACTCAGTTTCTTCTCTTTTTTTTCCTTTCTTATCTTCTTTCTCCTTAGCTTTTTCTTCTTTGAGTTGTTAACAGACTCTACAAGTTTTAGCCCATCTTGACCTTGCATAGAGCCACGGACTTGCATGGAGCCATGGACTTGGGTTACTCTTGTACTCTAATCATTACTTTTTGGTGACTTAATTTTTTGGATAGTCCAATAAATAAAATAGACCTGATACTTCATTAAGGTTAATGCTTTTTTCATGTAAGTCTGTAATCATTGTCTGCAGTGACAAACATTTTTTTTTCCAGCTTGAAACTCTTTTTCCAATATATTTGGCTATTTTTTTGTTTCATAGATATAGAAAAACTTATTTTGCCATTTAGAACTGATGAAATGTCAGTAACATTTGGTAAAGTAGCTTATAAACACACTGCTGTATGTTGTTGAGGTGTTTTTTTTAAAGAATAGTTTTTTCAAACTTCCTCTACTAACATTGCAGCTTGTTAGAATTTATCTATTTGCATAAATGCAAGGTTTAAGCTTTCATTACTAATACCGACCTTCTTTCCAGTTTTTTGTATTAACTCTGGTGTGGCCCTAATCTCCCACATACTTGCAAGAGATAACATAAAAGCCTCTCTATTAAATATGTGATCTTGTGATCTATTATCTGTCGTCAAAATCAATAAGTTTGGAATACTTCGAACAGCGTCTGGTAAAGCCATCTGGCTAGTAATTCCTCTGGTAAAGCCATCTGGTTAGTAATTCTTTGAGTACCAAATACTACATGGTAGATGCATCTTTCACCTAAATAATAATTTACGCAGTGAAAATGTGTCAAAAATTTCAAAATATAAATTACATGTGTCGTCTTATAATATACATTTATTTTTAAATTTATCATTTTTTGACAATATACACTTATACTAATAAACACTTATAGTAAAATGTTTATATAAATCAAATTTACGAAATAGGTTTTAATATCTATATATAGAACTACTATATAGAATAATATAGTAATTTAAAGTTTAAAATTCAAGATAATATCATGCAAAATATCTCCACAGTTGAGTTAATCGTAAAGGAGATATCAACAATAACAAAATTATTTTTTTGAGGGCACCTTGTCCAAAATAGAAAAATTTCAATTACAAATTAGAAATTAAAAAAGTTTGACTACTGTTTGATTACAACCGTCAGGAAAAAATTATATGGCTTTAAACAAAATAAAAAATAAATAACTAAAAAAAAATAGACTTCCAAAGTAATTAAAACAAAATTTTATTTTGTTGTCTTTTTAAGGGTACTATACCTGTAGTGCTTTCTGATTGTCTTGGATTTATTTATGCCAGAAGTACCTAATTGGTTTCAAATGTTTTAAAAAGAAATTCATTAGAATTTTTAAGTTTCTATTAGGATTATAATTTATTGTGTTTTCATGTTTTCTTCCGGTGGTATGGTAAGTGATTTATTTAGTTATAAATATTTATAATATATAGTATATTCTAGACTTTTAATAACATATCATCAAAAAAATATTGGTGCTTTACAAATTTAGGGATGGTTGGGTTTTGGCTATTTGTAGTGATTCCTTTTTTACTGCAGTATGGAATAAATCCTCATCGAAACGCCAGTATAATAGACGCGACTCTAGGGGAGATGTCTATTCCTTAATCACTACGCAAATTATGTTTACACATTAGCATTAATGTCTTTTTTTTTTCATTCTGAGGCCTTACATTGTTGTATGCATACTTTTTATTTTGTAGACATTTTTTCGTTTCAGAAGTTATTGTTTGGTGATTTATTTATTGTATATTTTTGTTCATTTTAAGTGTTTATAAAAAAAAAAAAAAAATTTATTATTATAAGTACTGCTTAGGTGCATTGTCTGTCTTATACATTTTTAAATATTTTTCTATTAGTATTTATTTTTGTCTTGACAACTGTCAAAATATGCTTGTTCGAAAAATAATTCTCCTCTTTTCTAATGTAATTCATTTTCCCTGTAGGCGTTCACTGCTCGTGTGCGCAGTTTTCAAATAATATATAACTGTTATACAGAATTGCTATACAGGTACAACATAACTGCTACATTGCCCGCGGCCCACAACAAAGCTATTACGTAGGCATGTAGCCCGCTACGTGCCTTTATATAAAATATAGTATTTTACGTGTCTTGATATAAAATATAGTACTTATTTAATTTGAAATTATTAATTTAATTGTTTAAATATAGTATTTAAACAAATAAAATAATAATTTTAAATTAAATAACCTGATTAAATCAAGGTTGTTGAAGATAAAACAATCAACTACTATAATAACTATGCGTAACTAAGCGCATCAAATTGTAACTAAGCGGATTAAGTTAGACTATTCATATATAGCCAATAGCCAATTACACGCAAGAAGATTTTTTTTTAGCCTATTACAATATAGTTAACCATTAATTATTATAAAATGACGTAAAACAGCCGTTAACTGAAGTTTTAACATTTATACCCCCATTCACATTAACATTTATACCCTATTAATAATCGGATAATTATTTGTTTGTAGTTGTTAAACCATTTGTGGCACATAAAAGTTTTATTATTATTATCACATTTATACATTAATACCCTAACAAAACCATGTTTTAATAACACTCGCTTTTAAAACGGTGTTTAGTTTAAACTATTTGAAGAAAATGTCATTATTTAAACACAAATCATGCTATAGCACACATAATTATGTGCTTCAGTGTATGATATATGAGATAAGAGAGATAAAAAGAGACAAAATTTACAAAAATGTAATATCCCAGACAGCAAGCTTACATTGGACCAACGTTGGGCCAATGTATGATGATGCATTGGCCCAATGTTGAAAGTCGATGTTGGCCCAATGCAGGTTTGATCATTGGTTAGGTATTGGCCTAACGTTGTGTACAACATTGGCCCAACATTGGCCCAACGTTGTATATAACGTTAGGCCAATGTTGTATACGACATTGGCCCAACGTTGTATACAAAATTGGCCTAACGTTGTATACAACATTGGCCCAATATCGTATGTTATATATCAGCCTAACGTTTAATGCAATATTAGATCGTTGTTACAAATAAGATAATTTGAAAAATTTTGAAAATTTATAAAGAAAAAAAAGAATGTATGATACAAGTATAAAAATTTATTTATTTAACATAATTGTTCGGTTATATATACATATTGCAAACACCAAACTTAAACCCAAAACTGACACATTGAGTTTTAAATAAAAAAATTCACTATAAAATTTATAAAGTAGTTTCGATATTGGCTGAGCTACTTGTTATTGAATCGTGTTTAGCTTATGATATTTGATGCCGACGATTATTATTTTTTCTTCCGCTATCTCTATCACATGTCTGCAAAAGCCATGCTTATTTGACTTCACAGTATTCACAAAAAAAATAGTTGTTTGTTTAATTATGGACCAAAGAAATATAACAAATTAAAAGTAATTCTGTAATGCAAAATTGAAACTGAAAAAATATACTTTTCTAAATCACTTACCAATAGCAACATATGCAATCAACATTTTTCCAATTCCAATTTTTTGTCCTCTCCCTGCATAGTTTAATTTTACAGCTAGGCCATTTTAAAAAACTATTCTTAGCAAATAACATATACAATCTCCTTCGTCTTTAACTCCAATTTGTGCCAAATAATTGACCTGCAAAAATACACAACCTGGCAATAATTAAAGTAACTTTTGTTTAGACTAAAATTAATATAAAATGTCATTTACAAAAAATCTTTAAAGAGTATTTTGTTTAAAGTATTTTAAATTGTACTAAGATATCATAAAAAATGAATAAACTGATCATAAAAAAATATTTACCATTTACTTAAGTATTTTCTTGTCTTTTTTTTCCAGAGTCCTTGAATTCTTCACTTCTTTTAACTGCAATGATACTCGTTCAGGCAATACAATAATTAGCATACCTTTGTTACTCAAATTTTTATAACTGAATTTGATGTATTTTGTAGTTCACCAAGTTGCACTTCAATGCTTGCCCATTATGCCAATAAAACCAGCATATCTTTTAAGGATACAACTTTATCTTGAAACAATAAAGTTAATTATATTATCATGAAACTATACAACTAATTATATTTAGAATTTATGAAAGTAAATACAACAATCACTAATAAAACAGATAAAAGTAAAGACAGAGGGGCAAATTTTTAATGATAAAAATATATACTTGCAAATGGATTCATAATATTTTTATGAATTATGAAATTTGCAGGTGTGCATTTAATTTCTGGCACTAACACAAAACAATTCTCGTTAATGTTTAAGATACAAATTGCACTGTAAAACAAAAAAATTCATATTAAAACAATATTTCTCTAACAGGGTTTGTAGCCAACTATTTATATAAAGTTCAATGACATGAAAATCAGATGAATTTCCTTGACCATTTTTAACAATGGTTTTTACAAAATGTTTAAAATTACTATCTAATGTAACGGAAATGCTAAGATTGTACATGCTTTGAATGACAAAACTTATAAAACTTAGCTATTAGTTAAGTTGGATATTAGTATAAAGCTTATTATACATTTTAGATCTTATTATTAAGGATGACTAAGAATGAACACTAAGAAAAATAAAAGTTTCAGAAAAAATAAATGGGTAGCACCAAAAAAAACATAATAGCTTAATTGAGCGCTGTATTTTGAAAATGTGACAAGTCACAAAATTAAAATTTTATAATAGAGTGAAAAACATTTATCCAGTAGAAAATTTTATTTTTATTTTATCTAAAAATTTTTTCTTTTATCTAAAAAAAACTTTTTAAAAAAATTCTAAATATAATTTCCATGGTCAGTATTCGAGAGCGATCGATCCCGCTTCCCGACCAAGCCTGTGGTGTAAGCTTTGATATGTTGATTACACAATAAAATGTTAATAAACACTCTAACTTTTTGACTATAATATATGAAAAAGTCTTTAAAATTGTAAAAGTTAAACCTATGAAAAAAGATTTTTAATCATCAAACATAAAGACTTTTATATAAAAACTTACCATTTAATAAATTTTGTTAATCCAACTTCTCAGAGCAAACATTGAACTTCTGTAAAGAGTTTAGAGTTACAGGTAAATTCCAAAATTTAATAATATTTTTTGTTTAATTATAAGAAATTGAGGATAAATCATCTACACCAAGATATACGCATTTTTTTGTCTCTTTAATCTTTATTTTGGCTGGTCATTTTCGCTGTCTTTTTTTTTTTGTCTCCAGAGCAGAAGTTTAGCCTTCTGCTAAATTCAATCTTGTATTGCTTTAAAAATCTATAAATCAAATTATTAATAATTAAGTTATAACTAAAGTTAATGTATAAGCCTAAAGTTGTTAACTGTTGTACGCAAACTAAATATGAAAAATATCCAGAGATATTAAATTAAAAAATTATAAAACCAAGAATAACGTTCCTCTGCCTCAGAAAGATGGATTATTAGAAAGCTCTACATAAATAGAATATTAATTCTAGTAACATCACTTTTTGTAAACTGTTTTAATACGTTAGTAGATGGGGTTTCACAATCAAAAACAGAAAAAACCAAACAAAGGAGACATATTTAAAATGTAAAATATCAATCGAACATATGAAATGTTACATTTATTTAATAAAGATTATTAAATAAATCAAACATTTGAAATGACCATACAGCAATAAAAATAAAAATATAACTTTAAGATCTTACACAAAAATAATTTGATTATTGCCTTTATTATTACATTAATAATTTAGATTGTAGAAAAAATTATTTTAAGCATATTATTTAAATGTTAACAAATATTTCATTATTTAAAAAAAAAATATCAAGTCACGAGAATCTCTTGAAATTTATTTCTTATGAGGAATCTTTTAAGATTCTTAGAAGATTCATAAATATACCTTCTTTTTTTTTATTTTTATAATTTAAAAAAATGGAAAGATAATATCAAAACCATTTTTTATTTTCTCAAACGATACCATTTTTTAAAATTTTTGCAACAAATTTAAAAATATATACTAATCCGCAACTACATTGGCCAAATATTGGCTACGGCATAAATGTAAGAACAGCAAAATATTAAGCCTAAACTGCATTGGTCAAATGTTGGCCCAACGTAGTACGATAATTGCAAAAAATCGATTTGTAGAATTGCAATATTACGCCGGAAAAAAAGCATTGGCTAAATGTTGGCCCAATATAGTACGATATTTGGAAAAAACCGATTTGCAGAATTGAAAATAATAGGCCGAAAAAAAACATTGGCTAAATGTTGGCCCAACGGAATAAGCTTGCCAATGTTAAAACTTACGTTGGGCCAATGTAAGCTTGCTGTCTGGGATGTATATAAAGAATTTTTTTTGACTTATTTATGATATATGTATATATATATATATATATATATATATATATATATATATATATATATATATATATATATATATATATATATATATATATATATACACACACACACACACACACACATATATATATATATATATATATATGTATATATATATATATATATATATATATATATATATATATATATATATATATATATATGTCTATATATATATATATATATACGCACACATATATATATATATATATATATATATATATATATATATATATATGTATATATATATATATATATATATATATATATATATAAGATATATAAGATATACATATGTATATATGTATATATATATATACATATATATATATATATATATATATATATATATATATATATATATATATATGTATATATGTATATATGTATATATATATATATATATATATATATATATATATATATATATATATATATATATACATGTATATATACATGTGTGTATATATATATATATATATATATATATATATATATATATATATATATATATATATATATATATATATATATATATATATATATGTATATATGTATATATATATATATATATATATATATATACATGTATATATATATATATATATATATATATATATATATATATATATATATATATATATATATATATATATATATATAAATATATATATATTCTATTTTTCTGAACACTATAGACCCTCCCTCAAGGCTCATTTTTGTGAAAAAAATGTCAATTTTTTGTCACAAGTTGCTGATTTCAGTGACGTAGTGGCAGAGTCTAATATAAACCAAGTTGGCCGAATTTAAAAAAATGGGCCTAGACTAAATATATTTTGCATTTAAAATCATACGTATTTTTAATATTGGTTTTATTACCGAGCATTTTTTATTCAAATTATCCATAAACTCACAAAATTGGTGAGTTTGTTGTGATACTTAGAAAGCATTTAGAGTATAAAAAAAAATTTTCTCTAATGTAACAGGATCATTGAACCAGCTTTCAAATTAAAGGGGGGTGGGAAAGGCATTTATCAATATATAAAAAAAAAGCCCTTGAAAAAAAAAAAAAATGGGGGGGGGGGGGGGAGACGCGTTGCCTTTCACTCTCCCTCTGTCAAAGAAGAATCCACCAATATTTGATTTAATGCCAAATTCATCTAGCAACTGCATTGTTTCTTTACATTGATTGTTTCCTGAAAAGGATGGCAAAGAAGGCACACCCAACAATTATGCTTCGCCATTATTATTTACTAGTACAACTTGTCGCTTGCATTTTAGTTTCTTTCCTTTAATTGTCTCAAATATAGTCTTTCCATCAAATGAAGTTTACATGGGAATGTAGATAAACGTACTTTTGTTTTAATATCTTCTTTAGCAATATTTGAAATATCTTTATTTTCTCTTTTCATTTTTCTAGCTGCAGTTGAGAGACTTGATTAGATGGCATTCATGTCTACCCCTGCAGCTTGAACAACCGCCGTTGTAATTCTTTGCACAACCATAGCAAAGATATTATTAACAGCTGCCATTAAAGCAACATTTCCGGAATAAATATTTTTAGGAATGTTGGTCCGAAATTTCGTACTGCTTGGTTTATTTTTTCTTTTCATCCATTCGCCTGGCTCGAAGTCAGAATCAAAAAAGTTATCTGAACTTAGTTCATCATTACTGCTAACGTCTTCTTTGTAAAATTTTAAAATTTTACTCGGTGATCCATTTTTCATTGCATTTTTGCACTTCATTATATTTAATGATTTTATTTTATATAAAAATAAACTTATTAGTTATAAGTTATTAGAGTGGCAAAAACACAAAGTTAGAGCACATTTAATAAATTTATCCAACTATAAAGAGTATATTATTTAAAAACTAAGTGTGTGGATGAGAATCAACATAGTGTAAGTCCAAAAACAAAATAGAGTTAGTTAAATCAATATTTTATACACCAATGCTTCACTCCATATAGTAAAGTAGCTCAATAGTTCATTTACCTTGAGAGCATCATTTAGTTAAAGTCTGACGCAAAACTGCTGAACATTTAAAAAAATAAAACTTACACTATGCAAATTCTCACAACCAAAACATAATCAAATTACTTAGTATATTTAGTGTCTAGAGGACCCAAATAATATAATCTGGGACCTTCTTGATCTTCTAAGAATTTTAAATCTTCTATTTTAGATTCATTGGATCTTAGCTTGTCACTGTGAATAAAATTATTTGATTTTTAATTTCTTGTTTTGAGTTTCTTTTGACATTCTTTAATAAATTAGAATATTTTTGCTCAAGATTTTTTAAACTTTTTCGAATATTTACGTCGCATTATTTATCTTAGAGATAAATCGCGCACATTATTTATCTTACAGAGTATAATAGTGTGATGGATTGGTGTTGATATTGAGATAAAAATGCGCTTCAGTGACCATGACTTCTTTTCAGGTAAATACAAAGTTTCATAAAACTGAATCGATAACTGTGCATTATTTTTATTTCTTTGCAGCACATACCTGAAATAGCAGGCGCAGCTTTATCGATAATACGAGAAATCTTTTTAGAAGATCTCAAACAGTTATTTGCACAAAGTCTTGATAACTCATATAAATACTTGTTCATTTACTTAAATTTTTATTTTGAATTTTAAAATTCAAAATCAAAAATGTAAATTTCAAATATTAAATTAATGTTGTGGCATCATATTAATTGTTTTTTATATAAAAATAAATTTATATGAAACTTTAGTAAAAGAACATGAAGTGTAATGGCTTGCTAGTTATTTTATATCGGAAAATGGCAGGCGGAGGGGGATGGAAGAATTTTAAGGAAACTTTAAATACGTAACTAATTAAAGAAGAAGCAATGTACAACATTTTTAACCAAAAATTTTTTTTATTATATTAGAAAAAATGTATTCGTATACTCCTATTGTTTTCTAAATATCAAAACAAAGTCATAAATTTTGCGAATTTATGGATAATTTGAAAAATAAATGCTCGGTAATAAAACAAAAACAAATATACGTATGATTTTAAATACAAAAGGTATGTAGTGTAGGCCCATTTTTTTAAATTCAGCCAAATTGGTTTATATTAGACCCTCCTTCAACGCCACAGAAATAAGCAATTTTTGACAAAAAAATTGACTTTTTTTTCTTCACAAAAATGAACCTATAGGGAGGGTCTAGTATGATCAGAAAGTGACTGGTATGTTTTTAAACATATTTTCTATATATTTGCACCAAATTTAACGAGAAAATTCTCTCATATATATATATATATATATATATATATATATATATATATATATATATATATATATATATATATATATATATATATATATATATATACATATATATATATATATATATATATATATATATATATATATATATATATATATATATAATATATATATATATATATATATATGTTCAGAAAATTTGAAGTTCTTTAAAGAACCTACGGGTTCTTAATATTCTCTAATGGTTCTCTGAAGAACTGGCGGCTTTTTTACAAAGCAATACAAAGAATCCATAAGGTTCTTCAAATCGTTTTACGGAAAACCTCGAAGAACCTTAATTTAGGGTTCTTTAAATCTTTTGTAAACGCCATTTAATTTTTCTAATCAGTCGTTATATAGGTAGACCAGTATAAATTTATAAAGAATGGTATAATAACAATAAAAAATGATTATCATGATAGTATTTAATTTGTGCTTTAAACATTTAAGTTGTTTTTATTACCGTTGTTAGCATCAACTGTGATCTTCACAGTTTGTATCTTAAGTCTAAGAAATTCATTGTTTATTCGCTTGAGTATAATG